GAAACCCACTGGACCCAAGCTGGACAGAAAAGGCTAGCTACGGGAGAGATGCTGCTATACTCCGGTCACGAAGAGGAAAATGCTCCACACACTCAGGGAGTCGCTCTTATGCTGTCCAAAGTAGCACGAAATGCACTTGTAGGATGGGAGTCTCACGGATCCAGAATCATCAAAGCATCATTCAAAACAAAGAAGGAGGGGATCTTAATGAATATTATCCAATGTTATGCACCCACCAATGATAGCAACGACGACATTAAAGATCAGTTCTACGAGCGGCTGCAGTCAATCATTGAGAAATGCCCAAGAAAGGACCTAACTATTCTGATGGGAGATCTAAATGCCAAAGTCGGAATAGACAACACCGGATATGAAGATATTATGGGACGACATGGACTGGGAGAGAAACGAAAATGGAGAAAGATTTGCAAATCTATGTGCATTCAACAAATTGGTCATAGGAGGCACAATATTTCCACACAAGCGTATACACAAGGCTACATGGATCTCACCGGACCACACTACAGAGAACCAAATAGATCATATTTGCATCAACAAAAAATTCCGAAGGACAATGGAAGATGTGAGAACCAGGAGAGGTGCTGACGTAGCTTCAGATCACCACCTAGTTGTAGCCAATTTAAAACTGAAGCTAAAAAGAACTGGACAAGTGGACAAACAGCACTACAAAGGTTCAATACAGCCTTCCTTCGAGATACTGACAAACTCAATGAATTCAAGATAGCTCTCAACAACAGGTTCCAAGCCTTACAAGATCTACTGAAGAAGAAGAAACTACTATGGAGGACAACTGGAAAGGCATCAAGGAAGCATTAACTTCAACGTGTCAAGAGGTTCTGGGCCTAAAGAAACACCATCATAAGGAATGGATCTCTATAGAAACACTGGACAAGATCAAAGAAAGGAAGAACAAGAAGGCAGCAATTAACAACAGCCGAACACGAGCAGAGAAAGTCCAAGCACAAGCTGAATACATAGAAGCAAACAAACAAGTGAAGAGGAGCATTAGAGCCGACAAGAAGAAATACGTGGAAGAACTAGCAACGACGGCAGAAAAAGCTGCTAGAGAAGGAAATATGAAACAGCTTTACGATACAACGAAGAAACTAGCAGGGAAATACAGTAAACCAGAGAGGCCGGTCAAAGACAAAGAAGGCAAGCCAATCACCGAAATTCAACAACAGCGTAACAGATGGGTAGAATACTTCGAGGAACTCCTGAATAGGCCGGCTCCAATGAATCCACCGGACATCGAAGCAGCACACATAGATCTTCCTATAGATGTCAACCCACCAACGACGGAAGAAATTAGAATGGCCGTCAGACAAATCAAGAACGGGAAAGCAGCAGGACCCGACAACATACCAGCTGAAGCACTGAAATCAGACATCGAAGCAACCACAAGCATGCTTACCTTCTATTCAAAAAGATTTGGGAGGAGGAACAAGTGCCGATGGACTGGAAAGAAGGACACCTCGTCAAGATTCCAAAGAAAGGAGATCTGAGCAAATGTGAAAACTACAGAGGCATTACACTATTGTCAATATCAGGGAAGGTCTTTGACAGAGTGTTGATTATGAAAAGGCATTTGACAGTGTAGATAGAGGGACATTATGGAAACTTCTTCGACACTACGGAGTTCCTGAGAAGATTGTCAACATTATCCGGAACTCATACGACGGACTACAATGCAAAGTCGTGCATGGAGGACAGCTGACAGATGCATTCCAAGTGAGGACCTGAGTCAGAAAAGGCTGTTTACTCTCTCCCTTCCTCTTTCTTCTGGTGGTTGACTGGATTATGAGGACCTCGACACCTGAAGGAAAACACGGAATACAATGGAACAGCTCAGAATCAATTAGACGATTTGGACTTCGCAGATGACCTAGCCTTCCTATCGCATACACACGAACAGATGCAGATAAAGACAGACAGTGTAGCAGCAGTCTCTGCATAAGTAGGCCTCAGCAAACACAAAGGAAAAACCAAGGTCCTCAAATTCAAAACGGAGAACAGCGATCCAATCACTCTTGATGGCGAAACTCTGGAAGATGTACAATCCTTCACATACCTGGGAAGCATCACCGATGAACAAGGAGGCTCAGATGCAGACGTAAAGGTAAGGATTGGCAAAGCAAGGATCGCATTCCTACAATTGAAGAACATATGGAACTCAAAACAGCTTTCAACCAATATCAAAGTGAGAATCTTCGATACGAACGTCAAGGCAGTTCTACTGTATGGAGCTGAAACTTGGAGAACTACAACAACCACAATCAAGAAAGTACAAGTATATGTAAATAGCTGTCTTCGCAAGATACTCAACATCCATTGGCCGGATACCATCAGCAACAACCTACTGTGGGAGAGAAAAAAACTAGCTTCCAGCTGAAGAGGGAATTAGGAAAAGACGATGGAAATGGATAGGACATACATTACGCAAATCATCAAACTGCATCACTAGGCAAGTCCTAACTTGGAATCCTGAAGGGAAACGGAAAAGTGCAAAGCCGAAGAACACATTACGTCGGATAATAGAAGCAGATATGTAAAGGATGAATAACAACTGGAAGGAGCTGGAAAGGATTGCCCAGGACAGTGTTGGATGGAGAATGCTGGTGAGCGGCCTATGATCCTTCACGAGGAGTAACAGGCGTAAGTAAGTAAGTAAGTACTTTCACAACTTAATACATTCCCAACACAGAAATTCCAATCAACCTGGAAATAATGCATTTCTTTTAAAACTGATTGCTGACGAATCCGTGCAGTCTATTAATTGAATACCAAGTTCCAGAGAAAGCTGTGAAGATTACTGTGGTAATGTTTACATGATAGATTTGTGCAAATCCATTGGCTCACCGTTCTAGAAATTGCTATTTACATGTTGATGAATAAAAACTGACTTTGTGTATTTATTTTACGCCTTATTATGAATTTACAGGAAAATTTACCACTTTGTCGTGGCTACGAATTTGGTCTGAAAGCTGCCTCTGTTTCTTTGGTTTCTTTATCCGTTGATCTTAAATTTAGCATTTATATGAATACTTTGTTCGAGCATAATTCTTCTGGAAGTTACTAGTCTACTTTCTCACTACACAGCATTGTTTGACTAATGGCCGCGTTACATAAATTTTTTGTATGCAAGATATCTTTTCTGCTGAACTAATTAAATTAGAGAGCATTATTTAGACACAGGGCACAACTATATATCTTTTGTATACGCTTATCAAGAAACTCTGTTACGTGAAATTAGATTATTGTTTTTGACTATTATTAAGCATACTAAAATTCATTAGTAATACCGGGGAATCTACTATTTTTGATAAATAGGACAAAGCCCGGAAGACTTGGCTGTTTTATCGGATGATATAAAAATTTTCTTCCACAATATACTTATCTTTTAGTTGTTTATCAAGAATCTTAGAGATCCATGTTTGAAAGTGAACTAAAGCTAGTGGTAGATTAGAAGACGATAAATTCATATTTTGTTATGTGGATAGATATGGGTCCTAGGAAGCTACAGCTGTAACCCTTTATATTTTTTGATACATATCAATCAGGATCAGATACTACCTCGTAAGCATTCACACTTCTTTATGAGAAATGGTTTAAACTCTATTATTGAGATTGAGGCCATTAATCATTTGGAGAAATCATAGTGAAGTTTCCGGTGTCCAGTCAAGCAAGTGAATAAGCAAATCGAGTACTACAAAAGCTACAAATATGTAGTTGTGAAACCTACACGCTTTGTATAACCATATGCTTTTCCAGGTTGATTTGAAATTTATAATTACTGAAAGTTTTGCCATATTGTCACCTCAAAGATGAAAAATATTTTGTGAAAGTAATGAACCGTTAATTGGTTAATACTCACCCAATGGTCAGTATGCATCAGCTGGATTTAATTTTGTTTTCCGTGTTTTTTCTAGTAAAAAAAGACCCAGTGAACCTGACCTTTATAAAAGCATTATTTCCGTTTATGGTTAACATTGCGATGCAATCATTTTAGATTGTTTCCGCCTATGTTAAACCCAACAGTTGAGTGAACACCTGAAATAGTCTATAAGAATTTACTCAGTAGCGCGGATACGATTTAAGAATCTATTTCTGCTTTTTATCATATTTACTTAAGGGTTTTGTGGCAGCATCTGTCTGATTTCGAAGATGGTTTTCGTCACTAATTGATATAGGTTGGAGAGTCATTTATTTTGGAAGAGATCATTGAACAGCTGTTTTATTCTAGTTTAGATCGCCACAGGGGTCCATACCCCAGAATCCATAAGAGATAGAGCACAAGACTCACAGCAAGGTGAATATCATTCAGCCTCCGATTTGAAACATAATCCACAGTTTTCTATTTCAGTCAGTTTATAATGTTAAGTGGTTTGAAACTAATTTTGCTGGTCAATTGTTGTCGCGCTGAAACTGAGAAATCCATTTCAAAGTCGGTCATATGTATGATATTATCAGTACGGGTACTTTGTGGTGATTAATAAATGTTCTTTGGTGTTACGAATCGACTTAATCTAGACATCTATTTAGTTTGAGACGTCTGTGAGATTTGCAATTCTAACGACATATCTAACAAACGATATTTCTTTAAACATTTTCATTTGTTTACCTTTCACAATAGTGACTCGGATTAGAATTGAAACATAGAAATTTAATATTCACTGTAATCTGGGATTTCCTAGTGAAACAGGTTTGTCCCAGACGTTGTGATTTATCGACTTAAATCTGATTACCTGTCTTTTGATGAGTTATCAATCCACCTTATGAATCCGTTTAAGGTTAATTATTTGGAGATGACATGCACTAGGAAAGAGGAATAATTTCATTGTAATAATAGCGTTTTCTGGAAACCTATGTAAAACCTTATTGTTTCATTCTACTTGAAGTTGTGTAGTGACAGTCCTAAATATAAAGAACCTACTAATTTACCAGAACTTAACCAATATAATGATATTCAATTTGTTCAGATCAATCCATTAGTATCTGATGTGAAAAATAATTCTTTGGCATGTTCACAACTGAATTCACGTGATCTATTACATCAAATAAAGTTAGCCTGTAGTATTGATCTGGAATTCCAAAATAAAAAATTGAGTTTGGATAGCTACCGTGGTTTTGATAAAGAGGGCTTATTCATTGAATTAGAAAGACAGCTGCATATTAGTGTTGATGATTCAAAAGAAAATGATAATACCCGTACTATAATTGAAAAACGTGATGAAGTATCAAAACAGTTTTCATTGTCTCCTTCGGTCTCAAATGGTCATAAGAAAGACGTGAAATTACAACCTGAATTCATGGAAATGTATATGTCGAAAAGCAAACTCCAATGTGATAAAGATTATTCGATTTCTCAAACAGCGAATGGTAGTGCCCGTTTTGTTAATAGAACACCAACTGTGGTCCATTCGTTATATGAGAAAAATAGTTCTTCGGTTAAAAAATCTGTTCACCAAGTAAGTACATTTATTTTATTATTGAATACTTCGAGATTATTTTTGGTAGTCAGAATCCGGAAGGTGTTATTTCTGGGTTTGTTTGGTTATCGACTAGTGCTCATCAGCAAAGAAACAGTCATGAATGTGTATTGGTCCAGATTTTCACACAGTGAAATGAAATCAGCAAGATAACAAGTAGATGGAACTGATTTATGCTGAAATAGAACCCTAAACATGAGAGATAATTTTTAGACAAAAGAAATGAGATCGAAGAGCTATTAATAATGCCTGACGATTTAAAAAACCATCAGTTGATGGTTTTTTATATTCTCATCAATCAATGTTCGACTAAACACATGGATCGCAACACACAATAAATCTGAAAATACAGTCTATCCCAAATTAGGTAATTCAACACACAAAAATAGGATACAATCTCGCTTAAATCTCAATAAATGTGAAATGGAGAATATAATAATAGTTGGTAAATTAAACGAAAGCTTATGATTAAAGAAATATGGGATTCACTAATTACAGATCAAGAATTAAACATTAATGTCCTAAAAAGTAGCCTTCATAGTTTGTTGTTCCTTATTTATTGTTTTCACAAACTCCCCCTTTTTTATAAAAGATTCCTGGTATGGCCATATACTGGGAGCTATCTATTCAAAAGGGCGGACGCTAATAAGGGCGACCACCAAAAAGACGCATGTTAATTAAAGTTATCAGTAAAAAGGGCAATAAGTTCGCTTTACCATCAATTGCTTTGAGTATAATGAAGAATCTTCTTTCAACTATTACTGATGAATGCTATAATTTCTCAAATCCGGTAATAAATTGCTATTATTATTACCCTTGTCACGTTATCTCCTACGTCTATTTTGAACAGCTAGTATATAATCTATTAGTATAGATGTTTGTTTCATTTTGAACTCAAATCAAATATTTTGTTTCAGAGCAAATAAATACAAGAAGACAAGTTGAGCGAAGAAATATTTCTTTACAATTAGTTCTTCATCAAGGGTTTACATTAATATATATGTTTTATAAGTGAGTAGAAAGTCGATACAAACTAAATGGTGGTGAGTCGGTCTAACAAAATGACAATCAGACAGTTACATAACGTCTAGAAAATTAAGATTAGAACTAAAGTGAATTTTCATAGTCAGTCAATTATTAAACCAAAAGGCACAAAGGTTCTCTACATAAACTAAGAACTATTAAAAACCTAGTGCTTACCAGACCTGATAAATGATCAGGAACAGTTCTGATAGATAAAATAGTTCACATGAAAAAGATGAATAAAATATTCAGTGATCATAGCAAATTTCAGAAATTATCTTCTAAGAACGATCCCGCAGAAAAGACTGAACGACAGTTGACTAAATCATTAAATGCTCTGAAACAAACTGGTATGGTCGCCCAAAACTTAAACAAAGCACTTAATCCCACAGGTACGGTGACACCTAAACTTCATGGCCTACCAAAGGTACATAAAACTGACTTACCACTTCGCTCAGAAATTCATGATATCACTTGATGCATTCTCTGTATTTACAAACGTGCCTCTTATAAAAACAGTTAATTTCATATGTAGTGAGTTACAAAATCGAGAGGTGGAAATTACCATCCCGGTCTCCTCTTTTTGAAAGAGTTAATACTCAGATGTATTATGAATGTATATTTTTTGTTTAGTAAAGAACTTCATAGACAATATGACTGTGTCGCTGTGGGATCATCATAGACATAACTAGACAAATGAATCATCCTATTTCTGAACGTCACTCTTTGTGGTTGACCAAATGACAAAAGAAAGTAATAAGGAGCTCTATCTTGGCGCATCCAGTCGATACTGGTCACCTCATGGATGAAACTTCTGCGTTTGAAGTTGTTTATGAAATCTCACCGAATTTACCCTATGGTTCTAAGATCCGACTCTTACATATAGAAGAAGCCATTACGTATTTCGAGACATTTCTTCCCCTTTTTTGAAAAAAATTTCCGAACTTCGATTTCATAACATTTTAATTTCTAATCCTAGTATTACCTGACCTGTCTACTAATTATGTTATCTAGTTTTCACTGAACCCGCCCTACTAATTACTTATCATCAATTTCACAAACAACAAAAAATATTTATAAAGCTTGTGACTTAAGGCAGTCCGCAAGGGATGCAAATATGCCGACTTTCTACTCACTTATAAAACATATATATTAATGTAAACCCTTGATGAAGAACTAATTGTAAAGAAATATTTCTTCGCTCAACTTGTCTTCTTGTATTTATTTGCTCTGAAACAAAATATTTGATTTGAGTTCAAAATGAAACAAACATCTATACTAATAGATTATATACTAGCTGTTCAAAATAGACGGATTTGAGAAATTATAGCATTCATCAGTAATAGTTGAAAGTAGACTCTTCATCATATGTTTAAGAAAATAATAAAGATTATTACCAAGTTTGCCGCTCATCATTTCCATAAATGTGAAACATATGGATGACCACCTAGGAGACCATGTTTTTCATCTTTGTTTCTATTCTTAGCTAACGGATTCGAAGTTGTATCACAAAATTGTGTTCACATGAATCCTGCATACTAAAAACTAAAATGGTGGTCAGTCAAAGAAACCGGTAGGATTTACATTCTTATAAATAACGTTCAAATTATTGTCAACATACGTCATTTGTAAATAAGCCATAATTACAGAATGAATTTAAAATATGCGGACCTTTTTTTGTAGTCACTTAAGCTTCCCATTGATTAATTCATATCAAACCTAATTAATGTAATTTCCTCGCCTATATTATTATTTCTAACTACTGATATTCAGCACTAAACCTAGCTTGTTTTTCCGATTCAGTCCTATGTATAATGAATTTTTGCTTTGAATGGTGGTTTACAATAAGAACCATAGATGAATGAAGCGTGTACAGTTGCGAATTCGATTTTTCCGAAGTTTACAACAATTCATATTTCTAATGACTTTGTCATTGATCTCATAAAAATACCATGTGATCATCTGTTATTTAAACATTTTTCCATTTATTTTTGACAATTCAAATTTTCTAGTCGTTTAATGTTCAAAAAAATCCGTTTGAGAAGGTTGAACACAGAGACAGCAATTCCAGTCTATCGGGAACTGTGGCAATATCAAAATTAACTAAAGGACCTTCATCACTGGCACGCATTTTTGTGTCGGATTTCAATAAACTACATCCAATCACAGATCAGAAACCAGAAGGCTCAATGTCATCTATATCGCAATCATTTACATCAGAAGAGAAAAATAATTCGGATAAATTCTATGCAACTTCTGTTTCTAATTCTAATTTAAAATCGTCAGACTGAACGTACAAACGTATATGTATCTGTTTTTATTATTTAGTACACAAACGCCGCTTACGTCACTTATCATTATTCAACTGTTTATAAAATACTTTTTCTGCTTGACGCGTTTTATTATCAATAGAGAAGCGTGTTCAGTGTTTGAAATTCACATTTTAATAAAATGGAATGCAGACGCATTTGATTAGAAAATTTTATTGCGTAAACATGACGATGGGAAGAAACTTAAGTGTATGTCTGTGTTCAAGATCAGCTAATTATTCACAATAATTATCTCGCAATAAGGATTAAAAAACTTAGGTTTCCGTTCAGTAATTTGTGGGAATTATTTTTGTGATTTAACAGATTAGGTGAGCACTTAGATATACACGAAGTATGCTTCTGATAACCATTAGACCATCATAAAAATATATCATTTACAATTTACTTATCAATCACATACCGACACAGATTTACGGTTTTTTAATGACCTTACGAGCTGGGTTTTTTTTCAATCTCAACGCGACTGACATTTAGAAGAGTGAGTATATTGATTACCAACAGTTTTGTGGGACTGGTATCAGCTTCTGTCTGAAGGTATCATCCGCACGGACATTATTTACAAAATACTTCCCTCCATCATGCATAAATATCAATCTTTCCGAAATTGCAGTGAATGAGCATGGTTTTCTAAAGCATGATTCAAACCATTGAGGAAACCAGTACATAAATAAACAGACCCAGTAGATTCTCAGATAACCTCTGCAAGATCATCTACCGTACGAAGGACACCCAATATCTACAAGATATCCAGTACATGAACAATGTTATTTTGGTATAGGAAACTAGACGCTTTAAACGAAAACCTGGTTTAACAATTATTCAGTGCAAATAATTGACTGTGAAGCAACCTAATTGATTATGGCAGATTGATGTTTTTAACTTGGGCAATCAAGCAGTGATTGACCCGATGGACGCATGGGATAGATAGATATTACTAAGCTGTGAGGGTATACTGACTTCAAAGAAACATAACGGACATCAGTTTGATTAATCTAGTCACGTGATATACGAACTAAGGTCCTTTCATTAATGAACTTTTTTTGTTCTGAAAATCAATCCTTAGTACCTCAAAAATTAATTCGAGTCAAACTGTTGGATCTGTGCTCAATGGTTTCATATTGATAATCCGTCCAGTGCTGGATGATATTGAGTACGACATGATTGTTGATGTTGAATACGGCATAAAATCACGGTCTATTCAAAAACGTGAGACGCCTATCCCGTGTTCTTTGGATTCAATGGCATACGTGTTGATCTCAGTTGGTAATGTAAACTGTTAATTATCAGTTCGATAACGTATATCAGAACAAAAGCTGGACTTCATCAAATATATTATTGATACTGCCAAGCGTGCAGAGAACATTAATCGTTGCATATTATATGGATGAAGCACGACGAATAGTTAGAGAATTCAAGGCGGAACAATAAATGAATATATGATAAAGCACTTACAGAAGTAAAAATGATTGATAAATATGTTGATGATAGAGCAAAAACGTAATTTCGTCTGATAACTAAGTTGATAAATGAAGTTCTTTCAAGAATCATACTAGCTTGATCGGTCCTCGGTTGCGATTTTATTAGTTGTGAATAGTTGACTTTTAACTTCTCTATTTATCTGATTACAAAATGATATAAGGAAAATGGAGATGAATGAATTCACAAATACACTAAATTTCGTCACAAAATTAAATTCACTAATAGCAATACTTTGTCGCGGAAACAAATATGATGTGACTGAATATTGTGAATAATCATTGCACCAGTAAGGATATAGACAACAGTATGATTTTCAATATGAGATAATCCGTATTTTATCATCATTTGAAAGCTTAAATAGCTTAAAATTTATTAAGTCCTACTGTTTTGTCTGTTGTAGAGTATCAACATCAAAGCTTATACTACGTCACACTGACAGTAGGAACAAAACTTGATGCATACAGTTCACCTAGTATGACACCATGAAAATGTTAGTGTGTATTTATCGCTTAGAGTAACAATGTTTGGGTAATTTTCACTCAAGTTAGAGCAACGTCTATGTGTTCAGTTGCATATTTTATATGGTCAACTATGAGTTTATAAACGTCTGTCTTTTGTTTTGCTAATCATAGCTCCATTCATTATGAAGTTACCTCAGTTCACACTGAATGGTTCCTCTTACCTTTCATTTTTCATTTGTACTATGCATTACAAATGCTCATATGGCATTGTGGAAAATATTTTCTCTTTTATCATCACTCCAGACTGTTGCTATATTGATAATTTACATAATAGTGTAAGTAAATAATCAAGATTATCGACACTAGCTACTGAGATTAAACTAGGATCTTCAAGGTTGGTATGATATCAAGAAAGGTTGAAGTTTTTGATTTCACTATTGAAACTTGAGTATGAATAATCTGGAAATAAAATAAATAACCGCTTGACTCAGGCTGATTTTCAACTTCCTATAACTGGAAAATATCTATCACCTTGACTAAGTTTGAATTATTTTATTATGTCATAAACATTCATTTTTCTATCAATTTTGACACAGAAGTCAATAAATTCTGTCACAGAGTAAAGTTTGATAAATCTTCATGGCTCACAGTTCCGTAGAAACCTATACATTATCAATATATGTGTTAATCCACAGAGATGAAATTTTACAAAAGTCACATCTGCTTACAACATTAATTTAGGTACTGTTTGTACTTCTCGGGCACGTTACGATAACTCAAAAAATAGACTTCACAGAAAAAAGGTAAGCAATTTTATGGGTGTTCAACAAATGATACATATTAGGAAGCGTTACTTTAAGAAGGCTTTCGTTGATTGCAGTGAGTTCAAATTGTAAATCTTGAACAAGCTTCGCCACTGATTTGGGAGTTTTTATTATTTCAATGCTTTGTGTGTAAGGGTTATAATGAACATCGAATGGTCGCTTAATAGTGCGTACAAATTCTCTGAAAAAGTTAATGAATAAGAATCATGTTTATTACTACAGAGAGTTGAATTGCTTCATCTAATATAGTTTTTTATCATTATCAAAATACAACTTCGTTACAAATAGTAATGTAAACCGATTCTGATCTTAAAATGTAAACATTCTTTAAAAGTGTATAAGTTTCAGCTATGATAAATGAGGCTATCATAAGACTCCATCAGGTAGAAACTGTCCAATTATTAAATCGTGAAATATGTACAGATTGTTTCGAAAGATTAACTAAGGTGTCTATGATTCTTCTCTCTCATCGACTACGAATCGTCGCCTGCAAGTCAGACATCTAGAGTCAAGCTTTAGTCTTACCTTTAGGGAATTCTGTTTTCTTCAAATATATTACGGAATAAAATTCTGCTTTCTGTTATTTTTGTTGGGGTCCGCGTGACCATCGTAACCAATGGTTGGAGACTCTAGGTGACATGGATCAGAATCGATCACAATGGCGTCGGTGTATACACTCTCTGTCTTCCCTTAAACTAAGAGATTAAAATCGCTTCATATCTTTCTTTCTACGAACTAATTATTTCTTCCTGTACTATATCCTTATTGTAATCTTTCTTTTATACATTACCACCTCTGAATTAACTACTTTTATGAATCCGGTGTCCATCTTGTTGTGTTAATGAGGTATGGCAACTTGGACGGATGCATATATGTGCCTGGTCCTACGTTGTACCTGACTGACTGTTGTGACAAATGTACGATAAGGATCAAAACATTCTTTTTTCATTATTTCGAGTTTCAAATAAGAGTGATTCTCATAAACATTAGTATTATGTTGTCGGAAGTATCATCTCTGGTTGCTCCTTTAAAACACTTTCCAGGAAACGTTTCTTGAAACGAGTTTTATGAATCCACAAAATTGTGAATAAAAAGTAAAAATGGCTTCTTAATTTTATTTCTGTTTTCAATATAGTCAGCAGCTTGTTGTCCCTCTTCTAAAGAAATACTTTTTTTTACTTTCGTAGTAAAATAAACGATCGAGGGTGAGTTGAAGAGATTAGTTGTGCTTTAACTTTTGTCAGCGAATACCAAAGTATGAACTTGTCAGAGAACTTAATTTTGAAATCTCATCTGCCTGATTTGTGAAAAATGTTCCCTAAGCTCTATCTTTTCTCTTTCCAAAGCCATTGATCAAGTAAATATACAGCGGATAGACAGTGAAATTCATTGTTAATTAATTTGTAATTTTGTTCGCTGATTTACGATGTTTTAGCAACATAAAGCTTAATATCTTGGTTATACATAATCCACCAGTATCTGGATCGTACTGTAGAATACAACTGGTTTAAACTTGATGCACAGGAAGAAAAGTAAGTAGGTACATTCAGTTTGATAATATCTCCGTACCCATCGGAATCACAACTGAAAATTGTGTTACAGCTTTCATTATGCACTACAGACTACCTTTGTCAAACAAAGGTAATTGGAATAGTGAACGATAAAGAGTTCGCGAATTTCACTCCGTAGCTATTAAAATATGTGAATTAGTTTCTATCCATGCAATGGTCACTGAAGAAAACGTGACATTTAGATTTTAGTGAGTAAGTTATGCCAAAGAAAATATTGCGTTATATCTGCAGACCATTGAATTGTAAGCTTAATTATTCATCGAGATGGCATTGAAAAATGTTTGCACATACTTAGTTCAATTTTTGAAATTTCAGTCTAATGAGTAAATCTTCATTTAATTCAAAAATGTTGAATTTAATCAGTAAAAACTTGCCTCATTTGACGTGTTGCATCTTCAAACGAAGAAGTTTCGAAATATCCGTTTTGAAAAGTTGTAACAAGGCATTCTTCGTTAATAACCTTCATTGGTATGAATGGTTTAATCACAGCTTTGTCACTTAAAGCATGCTGTTGTAAAGGAATGGAAAAAGTGTAGGTAATACTACGTTCTTTATGGGGTTTCACTAAAAATTAAAATGTCAGATATGTAAGAATCATCTAAAGTAAATAATTGTATGATCGTGAGAGTATCTGATTGCAAACCCTAATCCGATTTCTCAAAAAACTATTTAAAACTAAGGGATAGACAAAAGCTAAAAATTTCATCCTCCTAGAGAGGTGTAGGACATTTACCTGTCTATCACTCATGGTGTTATAATTTTTGTTTTAGTTAGATATTTGACATGGTTATTTTATATCAACAAGACTCAAGAAGACAGTTTACTTATGCGACTGAATCAGAGCTCATTCGTATTTTGTACTGTCTCGTTTTATACCGTCATCCTCAGACCAATGTTTTCAATAAACAACTTCTGTATCATCACAACATAAAATTTAAGTAGTTCTGAATATTACTGATTGGTTAATCCTTCGAAAACACAGAACACATCTGACATCAATGTGTCCTTGAATAAAATAACAGTGGTGAGCTATAAATCTAAAAACTTAATTTTACGTACCTGTAGTTCAGCAACAGATGAGAGCAAACCGGCACCATAAGCTTTCAGTTGGTTATCTTGTCGACAGAGACCAAATTCAATAGTGAAGAAGTAGCACTATTTCATTTTAGATGAGAGGAATAGTTAACTTCTCATTATAAATGGAAATTCATGAATCATGTAATGAAATCATAAAGACTACCGACTGAAGAAATTCACCAAATTTTGTTAGACACATTATAATATTTTTATCTTAATCCGAACAAAACACGATATGTTACTGTATAGTAAATGTAAATAAGCAGAGAAATTCATGTTGCTAGTTGTGCACAAAATACAGGTTCAACAAATTAAAACATAAATTCATAGATGGATGAAAGATAAGCTCCACCTTTGAACCACATTAGTGTCTATCCATAAGTTTAACTGTTCTTATAGATCATGTTAACTCCGCAAGTAGCTCTTCTAGAGGTACTGTCGGTCCCAAAGAGGGTCGAACATGGGGTCGGCAACCCCAACCCGTAGAAAACAACCTTGCTAAAAAATGCTAACCAGATTAAACAAATTAAACCATTTAAAGTCTGTCCTGGGAGTTGAAGGATCAAAGCCGAGATTCTTCGGAAGTCACGAGACCGATTCCCCTTCTTACAACCGGAGCAACAATTTTTATGGGTACATGGAACCTGGACGGACCAGTCAAATAGCAACAGAAATGAAAAGATACAACTTGACAGTACTCGGATTCAGAGAAACCCATTACACCCAAGCTGGACAGCAAAGACTAGATATGAGAGAGATGCTGCTATACTCGGGTCACGAAGAAGAAAATGCTCAACACACTCAGGGTCTTGTTCTGATGCTATCCAAAGAACCACTTAAACGCTTATAGGATAGGAATTTCATGGACAAAGTGCCAAAGAAAGGATTTCGCCATCCTGATGGGAGACCTAAACGCCAAAGTCGGAATGGACAACACCTAATATGATAATATCATGGGACGACATGGACTCGGACAGAGAAACGAAAATAAGGAGAGATTTGCATACCTATGTGAATTCAACGAATTGGTTATAGGTGGCACAATATTTCCACACAAACGCATATACAAAGCTACATGTGTCTCACTGGATCACACCACAGGTAGATCATATTTGTATCAATAAAAAATTCAGAAGGACAATCAAAGAACTAAGAACCGGGTGAGGAGCTGTCATAGCTTCAGATCACCACCTGGTGGTTGCCGAGATGAAAATGAAGCTAAAAAACGATGGACAGCTGGGGAAACCGCAGTACAAAGGTTCAACACAGCCTTCCTTCGAGATACAAACAAATTCAACGAATTCAAGATAACTTAACAACAGGTTGGAAGACTTACAGTATCCACTAAAAAAAAGAAACTACGATGAAGGACAACTGGTGAGGGATCAAAGAAGCACCGAATTCAACGTGTCAGGAGGTGCTGGGCCGCAAGAAGCATCATCACAAAGAATGGATCTCTATCGAAGACCTAACAGTGACAGCGGAAAAAGCTGCAAGAGAAGGAAATATGAGAGAGCTGTATGATACAATGGAGAAACTAGCAGGGAAATATAGTAAACCAGCGAGGCCAGTCAAGGATAAAGAAGGCAGGCCAATCACCGAGATTCAAAAACGGAGGAACATATAGGTAGAATACGTCGAGGAACTGTGGAATAGACTACCTCCATCGAATCCACCGGACATCGAAGATCGTCAACATCATCCGGAATTCATATGACGGACTGCATGACAAAGTCGTGCATGGAGGACAGCTGACAGATGCATTCCAAGTAAGGACCGGAGTCAGACAAGGCTGTTTACTCTCTCCCTTCCTCTTTCTTCTGGTGGTCGACTGGATTATGAAGACCTCGACATCTGAGTGGGAGCACGGAATACGATCGACAGCTCGGAATCAATTAGAAGATATGTACTTTGCACATGAAGTGGCCCTTCTATCCCGTACACACGAATAAATGTAGACGAAGGCAACTAGTGTAGCATCAGCGTCTGCGTCAGTGGGCCTCAACATACACAAGGGAAAATGTAAGATCCTCAAATACAACACGGAGAACACCAAACTAATCACATTTGATGGAGAAACTCTGGAAGAGGTGAAGTTTTTCACGTACCTGGGAAGCATCATCGATGAACTGGGAGGATCCGATACAGACGTAAAGGCGAGGATTGACAAAGTAACAACCACATTCCTACATATGAAGATCATATGGAACTCAAAACAACTTTCAACCAATATCAAAGTCAGAATCTTCAATACAGATGTCAAGACAGTCCCACTGTATAGAGCTGAAACGTAGTGAACTGTTACAACCATCATCAAAAATGTAAAAGTATTTATGAATAGTTATGTAAACAAGGTACTGATGTCCGTTGACCGGATATCATCAGCAACAACCTACTGTAGGTGAGAAAAAACCAGCTTCCAGCTGAAGAGGGAATTAGGAAAAGACGATGGAAAAGACAGGCATCTACCTTAGACAATGGATGAGTGGTTGCGCTAGATCATGGATCGACTGAAGTTAGTCATTAACACCGGCTCAGTGGTCTACAGCTTAAACGTTTATGCGCAAGTCCGAAGGTCCTGGGTTCAAGTCACGTATGAGGGTTCGTACATGTGCACTACTGAGGAGTTCCATACTAGAAAGAAATGGCCGTTCAGTTCTTTCAGGTTTTCAATGGTGGTCTACCTTACATCGGCTCATGAATTCAGCTATTAAAATTACTGCAATCTCCACAAACCCCCATTCTATTATAAAACCACTTAATTATTCTGTTCTTCAGATTTGTGAAGTGAATAATTATCGTTCGTCTACAAACCATTTTCAATTTAACGTTTTCCAACTAGCCATTACGTCATTGCGCAACCTCCATTGGATGTTTGGTGTTCCCAGATAATTTACAAATCAATCTAAGAGAGTTCTCTATATATGAATATATTTATAAATGTATGGCTTAAATAAGTTATATCATCGAAAAGAAAATACTCTTCCCCGAATTTTTTTATTTCTTCAATGAAATGCAACCTTTGACTTATAACAAGTCCGTTATATTAATGTATATAAATTACCACACTAGTCTGTTATATCTAATGTGCGTTTCAGAAGATGATTCACCCATTTAAATGAAACCGACTTAAATAACTGATAAGCATCATTCCTTTTCAAAATACATTGGATAATCGATTGTTCAGAAAGCTGGTCCACCTGAAGGCAACTAATGTACCTTGTCGGCATAAGTAGGAAATTCAAAATTGAGTCTCAAAACCTTCATTAACTCTTTGTTCTAGATTCATTTTTATATAATTCTGTATTCCTTATCCACTCAATTATGGATTTAGTGGTCAAAAACTGTGTACATAGGCTAACAATTTCAATAATTGGTTTGTGGAAATTTGTCATAATATGTCGTGAAGTAAGATTGCCATACAGCACTCGGGCTTCTCAGAAAAAGACATACAGTGGCTAATTTCTTTATTTCTTCGTCACTTGTACCCAAAGAAGCCAAGCCAATCTCTTGTGAAAATCGTGCAAACTTTGGATCAGCTAACATAGGTACATGACCCAACAGCTCATGGCAGCAGTCACTGAATTTAAAAAACAAACCGAAATCAATGAATTATTAATTGGAAAACGATTAATTACTTAATAACATGAGTTAAGTATGATTGGCCATTAATCCGTCCCACTTTAATACAAGTTGGTGATATTTATTTTAAACTTTCGTGGTAGTCATGTAAATGATTTACAAGCCCCGAATAAGAGATTAATTTCTTCATTATTCGATTAATTGAAAGAAAATTATCGACTGCTGTCTAGTGTTCAGCGCCATATCTTTACAAAGCTATACCTGCCGTTCATTTTTCAGCCTTTCTGTCAAAGTCCTTCGGAAATCCAGACATTTATATAATGTTTGGAACCGTATCCAAACAGTAAAAACCTCCAACAAAAATAACATTATTTGAGGTAGGTGTTTTGAGTTTTATAAAAAGCTAAGGAGAGTTTTACTGCACTGAAAGTGACCATATCAAGAAATGTTGAGTCGTTTTCTACCACAGCCGAGACAAGTTAGAGATTATTGAAATGCTAACATTCTCTTTTCATCATCTACAGTATCGTTTCGAGATATTGCTCGATGACAGAAGTACAGTAAAGATATCTGCATCATCATTTTTCAAACCAAAAATAAAAACCAGACATTTAAAATCGTCACCCGCCATTTTTATTAATTTTAATTCTCCCATAATCTTTACTGACTTTTCCGGAATATATTAATTAGTCATCAGAAAGAGTTTTATTCATTCGAAAACGCTGGTATTGTATATCACCGAAAATTTGAGACAAAGTGCTTATTGTAACATTAAATTTAAAGTCACAATAATTGTTTGAAGAGGTGAAAATTACATATCTGTGGTGGTAGATGTATCATCAGCTGTGGAATATTCAACCCGTAAAATGTCTGCATATCAGTTGAACTATAGATTAAATGTAAGGCAGGAGAAATGATCATAGTTAGTTTCTTGCTTAACAAGTAATACTTTTAGACTCACTAGGTCAAACTGTTGATTTCGAGTCAACAGACAACTTTTGGGTCAATGAATAGACAAATTTCAGTTAGGCAGCTTGGTATAGAGGATCCTTAAATTACAGAATCTGTAAGGACCCAAAGTAAATGACTTTGTAGATTAGCATCATTTTCAGTTGCTACGACTGAGTTGACTAATGAGTTAAGGAGATCTTCAGTAACAACACACGTGTCGGCAACTATATGAATAATTTTCTCAGTAACTCAAATGTCACTTGGACTTGGGATTGCCGGAACACATCACCGGACTTATGACTACGAACAATTATTGTTAAGCAAAAATAAGACGATGAAAAAAATGAATAAATGATTTATGCTGACTGATCCAGAAGCGGTACAAATTATTAAATAAGATCCTTCCAACCAGACAGCGGCCGAAATTCGGAATAGGAAAATTGCTACTTCATAGCCTAATGACTTAAAATGTTAAGCTCTAATGTCTCCACTTTTTATTATTTATATATTATGATCACCACAGTAACTTACTCTTCTATCTATCTGATTAAAATAATTCATTTGATGATAAGAGTTTCAGCTTTTCCTATAAAGTCTGAATAGTTCTAAGTATTTACTCACATGAGACCTGAGGGGAATATACAAATATTTTTTAAGGCTTAATTATATCTGGAAATAGAACCACAGACAAAACAAATAACTTACGGTTCTGGTGTATAAAATGGATCAGCCTGGTGGCGTATATACTGAGTGCAATAGAATACGCGAAATGCCAAACCTGACAGGAAATCACGTGCAGACAGATAGCCTGCAACTGGTCGGAGACAAAATCCTGTCCGTGCTTTATAATTGCAAAATTCAAAAAGAATAATTTTCCGTATTACTGTGAGAATTTGTACAGTAACTTCAAGAAAATCTATGAAATAGTGTGATGAATCAATTCATTAGTTCAAGCTGTTTTTGAAAGATAATTCGTCGATTTATAGCTTACAGATAAAAATTAACTGGATCGTAAATTTTCTTTGAAGCTTTAGAAATCCATAAGTAAGATGTAACGAGTTACAAAACCCGAGAGGAAGATAAATATTCAGAAACTGTAAATTATCTCCTTCGGCAGCACAACTAAAGTGGTACCTCCTCGACCAAGAGAACTTAGGTAGTCATAATAATTTTCGTTTTATTACTCTTTAACAATATGCGCAGAATTACTAATATTATCGTTCTCATTTGAACTATCGATCTGTCTGTGGTGACTATTTGAAAGAAAGATAATTTCATCCAAAATACAAGTAAAAAATAAAGCTGTTAACTTTCGAGCTATAGTCATCACACTAGAAATAATTATGACTGACTAACAGTGTCACAGGAATCTAAATAAAAATGTATTATTCTCATGTTATTTCTTATTTAAATCATATCAGTTTGATTTCTTTTGAATAAAATAGTTGAAAGTGACTTACCTTTCAAAAAGTCTGATACCACTTGTAACTGAGGTAGGTCGAATTCGCTAGTATTTTATATATTTTTTTAGAAAAAAAAATTATAAATATGGTATTTGGCTATAACGCATTCAGTACTTACAGTTTTATGTACTGTACACTAAAAAAATATTTTTCGTATGATTTGATGAGAAATATAACTAGGAACAACTGTAGACATTTTTTGGCCTAACAAATTATATATTTCTATGTAATAGTAAACATCTTATACTATAATTCACAAATCTTTAACCTTATGATCGTCCGATTGTTGATCATATAAACTACTGAGAATTATGTCCAAACTGGATTCTATACTGAAGTTCAAATAAAAACTAAAAATCTTAGAGAGACAGATTTTTCATTCCATGAATTGACCCAGGAAATTTCTCCAACCAACTACAGTCACCAAACACCAAACCAATTTCTTAGCATGTTCAGGTCCCTCGATGAAGTAGTTAGCAATAAACGTAATTTGATTTCAGTAACAATAACGTGACATTTTCACATACTTCGTGAAAAGCTTCAGAAAGAAGTTTGTTGCAAGTAGACCAGTGGTGGACATTAAACGTTAATTGATGTTGCGAAATGTTGAAATTCTGGAGTGGTTTATTCGGTGATCTCAAAATCCTCTGCAAAATTGTTTAACTTACTTACTTACTTACGCCTGTTACTCCTCGTGAAGGATCATAGGCCGCTCACCAGCATTCTCCATCCAACACTGTCCTGGGTAATCCTTTCCAGCTCCTTCCAGTTGTTATTCATCCTTTACATATCTGCTTCTATTATCCGACGTAATGTGTTCTTCGGCCTTGCCCTTTTCCGTTTCCCTTCAGGATTCCAAGTTAGGACTTGCCTAGTGATGCAGTTTGATGATTTGCGTAATGTATGTCCTATCCATTTCCATCGTCTTTTCCTAATTCCCTCTTCAGCTGGAAGCTGGTTTTTTCTCACCTACAGTAGGTTGTTGCTGATGATATCCGGTCAACGGACATCAGTACCTTGTTTACATAACTATTCATAAATACTTTTACATTTTTGATGATGGTTGTAACAGTTCACTACGTTTCAGCTCTATACAGTGGGACTGTCTTGACATCTGTATTGAAGATTCTGACTTTGATATTGGTTGAAAGTTGTTTTGAGTTCCATATGATCTTCATATGTAGGAATGTGGTTGTTACTTTGTCAATCCTCGCCTTTACGTCTGTATCGGATCCTCCCAGTTCATCGATGATGCTTCCCAGGTACGTGAAAAACTTCACCTCTTCCAGAGTTTCTCCATCAAATGTGATTAGTTTGGTGTTCTCCGTGTTGTATTTGAGGATCTTACATTTTCCCTTGTGTATGTTGAGGCCCACTGACGCAGACGCTGATGCTACACTAGTTGCCTTCGTCTACATTTATTCGTGTGTACGGGATAGAAGGGCCACTTCATGTGCAAAGTACATATCTTCTAATTGATTCCGAGCTGTCGATCGTATTCCGTGCTCCCACTCAGATGTCGAGGTCTTCATAATCCAGTCGACCACCAGAAGAAAGAGGAAGGGAGAGAGTAAACAGCCTTGTCTGACTCCGGTCCTTACTTGGAATGCATCTGTCAGCTGTCCTCCATGCACGACTTTGTCATGCAGTCCGTCATATGAATTCCGGATGATGTTGGTGATCTTCTCAGCTAAATCCTAGTGTCGAAGAAGATCCCATAATGTTCTCCTATATACACTGTCAAACGCCTTTTCATAATCAATGGAGTTGATGTATAGTGGTGAGTTTCATTCAATTGATTGGTCAACAATGATCCGTACTGTCGCGATTTGGTTTGTGCACGACCGATCCCTACGGAATTTGGTCTGTTTATTCGAAGTTTGGCGTCTACTGAATCTTTCATCCGGTTCAGCAACACTCTGTTAAAGACTTTCCCTGGTACTCACAGTATGTATAACAGTATATATAACTTCAAGTCTTTTTGGATTTTGTTTCGAAACATCCGACCCGAAGACTTCATAAGATGTTACCACCAATACTCTAAATAATAGTACTATATACGTTTATTTATTGTGACACTACTTTAGGCAATGTTTACACACCGTGCAACTACAAGCACTTAATCTTCGTGTCAAATATTTTAACATTTTTAAGAAACCACTGGATTAAATATACAAATAAAAGTTGTGCTAATGACTAAATAATAAAGGTGTACTAATCTCTTGCATGAAATTGACTACATTGAAAATAAATCTCTCCTTTTATTCACTGTGCCATCCTAGAAATTTATAAAACGTTTCAATTATTTTAAATAAAATCACTTACTTGTATCCAGCTTTATCTTGTAGTAATGCTAAATTTCTTTGAAATTCATGACAAGCCGAAGTTTTATACAGGCGAGTTAGTTCACGGTATATACGTCCCCTTTGAAAGCAATTGAAAACCCAGTCGTATACTATTATAATTATTTAAAAAATGGGTTATCGTAAATACACAATTTCACTTATATTTCACTACACCGCAGCAGAAAAGTATGAACAGGTCTCATCAGATTCACAGCTGTGCTCTGACTCAGAAGACTAATTAAACTCTACATACATGCTGTGAACAGTCCTATATCTGGCTTAAGAAGCAGTTTCCATGGTTTTAAATCCGTCAGTGTAATGGGATGAAAATATCCAGAGTTCACGGATTGGCTTTCTATGTATAACAAAGAAAGTAAAATAGTAATCATCTGATAGAGGTTAGACTTAGTATTGTGCATACCTATGGCATCTACTGAGTATTAGAGCTGTATTCTAGAACCATGGGATAAGTTCAGTAGGATTCCATTATTAAGTCTAAAAGGTGATTTTAAGTCATCACAATTTATTGATCACTGGGTGGGGATCAATGTCATGTGTGTCAAGTCCTTATTAGTGCAGATTGAATGCTACCGACTATGACGACCCTTATCAGCTTAATGCTCCAATATAGAGTTTCTAATTGTATTTTCTTGCCCTTTGGTCAAACATCGGGGGTAATATTTAGAAATACGATAATGAATTTGACTAGTAGTATCCCTAATATTACTGGCTTCGCAAGAGGATGAGGATGTCCAGACATATGGTGGCTGAATCTCTAAATTGTGCACCCGATGTAACTGGTTCCACAAGAACAGCCGAATTGGTCAATGCACATAAATGAGGCGAATTCAGGAAATATGTTCTTACTGTAATGGCCATATAGCTTAGCTCCGGTGAATGTTTTTTGAATAACTTTTTTATCCATTGTGTTATTAATTCGTTAATGATGTCATTAAAGAATAGTAATCTCAAGAATGAAAGCTTATTAGAAATTCCAGTTATCTCTGAACTTGTCCAAACTTGGGTAACGCGTTTGTCGGTAAGTTTCAGTGGATATAAATTCATGTTGATTAAGTTGTGGATTTTATTTACTCTTCTTCACTGGTGTCGAGAGAGCAAATACGTTCCGCATTGTGTTAATCTCGTTATCTGTTTTCTTTTGCATCTGAGAGATCTAGCACCGTAAAAATAAGTGTATTAACCAGCTGGTGTTGATTTTCTACAGATAATATTTTTAGTGTTTCGTTTAATCTTCTTGTTAACATGACGTCTAGACATGATAAACTACCATTACGTTCTTCATCTAGTGTGAGGGTGATTGAAGGATGAATCGTATTATATCTTTTAAGTAGACATTAAATTGTAAGTACCATAAAGGGGCCATTTGTGTAGTAAAAGTAAAATACTAGCTGCTAAATTTCGTACTTGAATGGGACATTTTCTAGTGTTCTGAGAAAAAATTTATCGAGTTATGGACACAGTGGTGACCTCATACCAATCCGAACCTATTGTCTATAGAAATTGGTGTTCGATGGCGCAACTTCGTGGATTGGTTGAAGTTAGACATTAACACCGTTGGATGCCGGCTCAGTGGTCTAATGGTTAAGTGCTCGCGCGCGAAGCCAGTAGGTCCTGGGTTCGAATCCCGCAGGGAGCGGGTTCGTGGATGCGCACTGCTGAGGAGTCCCATACTAGGACGAAACGGCCGTCCAGTGCTTCCAGGTTTTCAATGGTGGTCTAGCTTCAACTGACTCATGATTTCAACCTGTGAAATATAGAAATTGTCACTAAATTAAAAATGTACATTCATTGTGCACCTGAGGTTTAATTCGTTCATTATAAAAAAAGAATATTTCCATTTCTTTCGTTAGATAAGGGATAAAAACTACTGACTTATCCAAACAGTCATAAATGGAGGGAGTGTGAAACTTTTATTTCGAGCCGCAATCACTTTCAAATAAATTCAAATAAATGTTATGAAAAACTGGTCTTACATTATGTTCTATTATCCCTACTTAAAATTTAATAAAATACCATCAAAATATGATAACATTTTGAATGTTAGCCACCGATTTTATATCTTATAAAGTTTTATTGAATTGCTGATAAACACTGAAGTTTATCTGATGCTAATCGAATTGAGGTCATAGGATAAAATAAAATGATAACAAAATGGAGATTACTTATATGCTTCTTACCAGGTCGTTTTTTCGGTTTCTGTATATTCAATAATAGGTATCTGTTGACCCCTAAAAATAAATGAAAAGGAATTCAAAGTCTCACGTTATACAGAGTCATATTAAACATATAAATATTTACATTTCTACCAGTATATTGCCAGATTCATAACCATTAAATGTACAGCTCTTTGTAATGGGATCACTTTCCACTTTCCTGATTATCTTCAACACACTGATTTGATGTTGGTTTTCAGTCAGTAGTAAGGACTAGTCTCAAAATCGGTCCATATAGTACTGAGTGCATAAAGCTGAGAAGAAGTGAACTAAATAATTGAATAGCTTCATTTCAGATTGGCGAACATTTTAAACAGTTCAGACCAATCACAGGTAAATGTTCTCTTGAAAAGATCATGTCGTTAGCTGGTCATCATAAAGAAGTATTATGGAGGTGCATTGTTGAGTAGTTTCAAAGGAAAGGAAAACACTTGTTAACCATTTTTAGATTCATGATGATTGTTCAAGCATTATTTGCTTTTGATAAAAACAATCTAAGAGATTATAACTTTGATTTCAGAAAACAGATGTCAGACTTTTTAAAAACATCTAAATGATGTAACTAAAAAATGAATCAAAAATGAGTTACATATTTGGTCTAGAAAACTCAAAATAGCATTTATTAGTTTATCTAGTATTCAGGCCTAAACAACCGTGATACTGCTCACCATTTATACTTTAAAGCGATGTCAGCAAACATCATTCGACGTTTTCTGTATTCCTTGTCTTTGAAACCCTGAAATGTGAACATTTCCAAAACAAAAACAATGGTCAATAGGGAGTCAAAAATTAGTTAATTGTTAAACATTGTGAGGGGTTCCTAGTATTGTTATCCATCGGAGATTCATACAACGAAGATTGGTCAACAGTGCCAATTTATATGCATTAACACTTAACGTACTTTGACATCTGTGAAGAGGCACTTTAACCGAAACCCAAGGTAATAAAAACATTCAGCTCTTTGATATTATAACAATGGTCCCAAACTAGGACTTGAATAATATTTCAATAACATGTAAGAAATGATTACTCGGAACTTTTTACATCATCATTATTGTATCAATAAGTTAAGGTGGTTATAAAATGGGGTAAATTTACTCATTTACTTACAGTTGCTAACGTACGAACGTGATGTTAGTGTAAATTCCTAAAGAATTCATTTCAGTCCTTATAGTATATGATATTGATGGGTGTTTAAAATGAAGGAACTATCGTTGATCATTTCAAAATGTGGATGATTCTCATCAAAAGTTTTAGAATCTCTAAAAATAACCTGGAGATTACCTGTTCCTTACGTATAACTAATAATTGTATAGTCAGTTTGCGTTTTCTATCAAGTTACAATATGTTTCCTATGGAATTCTTCATGTTTTCTCCATATTTCATAAAATGGAGGAATCTTGCAGATCTAATACAATGAGTAACGAGACAATTACATTTGAACACAAAATGCACCCATTTTGTTTGTTTTAGTAACATATTGTTATCACTCACCGGATGATCTGCATCTAATTCCTTTCCATACATCAGAACACTATTTGAGACTTTATCTAAGTCAGAAATGTGTCTTGGGAACCAAGGTACTTTATCGTTTACAGTTGGGTTCTTTGCCTCAGCTGAATAAGAAATTATTATAGTAAATATCAGCATTTATAGAATTAGTAAATTGATTTGTTTATAAGTGACGAAACCCTAGAAGAATGTTTTATATAAGTTGCTATTCTGTATAAATCATTGTAAAAATATTCAGGTTATTAAATCAAGTCCAAGCAATCTATTTTATCTAAAGCTCAGTCACGAGTTCATTTCCATGGCCAAATCCTAAGAATCACTGTCGAAATAGATAGTAAATCTTATCAAATATTTGGATTTATCTTAAACGTTCTAATAAATGTGATATCATAGTAAACCCGCCCCAATTCTTTTTATTCTACTGACCTTTCTTACTAGGTTTCACAACAAAGGTCAAGAAAAGCCTATCGTATTTTTATTACCTACTTGCTTTAATTTAGATATTTGATCTTTTATGTATGCAAATATGTTAGTTTGATTGAAAGTATGTCTGCATCCTAATCCTTTTCTTTCATTATCTGTAAACATAGAACTGCACAAATTTTACTCATGTAATGAATTACACTCATTTTTTCCGGTGTGCTTACTTTCCGAGTGCTTATAGATTTGATTAATTATTAACAATATACACCTTCCAACACGACTGGGATACTGGCTTCTCAATATTCTCAAGTGAATTCGAAGAGATGTTAAAAGAAATTCACACTTAAGGGGTCATAATATTTTGGAGTCAGATTTGGGGAAGTAACCTCAACAATGTGCAACTGACGGTATGTTTACCATGTTTTCGCGCTTGCTGACATTGCACTCTTGAATGTTTTTATCATCCAAATACAATTTCATAACCTTCTTCTTAATAAATAATATCAGACGCTTGGTGGATCAGTAGTATAAGCACATTTAAATGACGTAAAGATATTTCGGATTAATATCTCTTTGGAGTTTTTCCATAACTCACAAAGTATCATGGATTTCAGGGTCAACTAATAAGCATTTAACAAATTAATTTCTCTTTGTTATTATAAGAGAGCGGAGATTTTTCTAATAAAGAAGTGCTTTCCCAATCCGATTCCTAAGAAACCAGCTCAAGTAAGGGGATGGAACATTTCGGTACACGTAATATGTGAAATATAACTTGTATGTCAAACTCGTATAATTAAACTTGGGGTTTTTCTAAAAATCATGAATTCAGTAGCATGTTAAACATAAATGTTCAGTGAGATTCTACTCAGACTATTAGTGTCTTTACTAATATCATACAGGTTGAATCATTTGATAAGACAACTAGGAATTTAAATTATAAAGTCTTAGGTTTCTCAATTTTATAAATGTCTAGGTTACTTTAGAACTAAGGTTACTTCGTATATTTTGTCTGTTGACGTTATGTAGACTAAAACAAACAGGGTGAAGTTTACTGAGTAACTCCAGGTATTACACTATACAATTGATTGAAAGCAACTACATCGGTGATCAGATTTTTGCACATTTTCACCAGCATTTACTGGGGGTGGGTATGTGATTAAGAGGGTTCCAGTAATAACCATAAATTTTTCGAACTTTTCCTGAAATTAGCCATCCATCCACTCGTATACACCAATTATAATTTAGACACAATGACTTACCTAAGTTCATTGGAGGGTTTTGAACAATACGATAAGATGAGAAAGACTTCAGTTCTTCCAACAGGCTCTCAGATTCTATACATGGAACTTCAGCATGAATTAATAACTCCAGTGGTTCAAATTCTAGATTTTTCCTCTGCTTTTTCACGTTCAATCTTCCTAATCTGCTTTCAATGTGAAGAATATTGACATTTCTATCCTGAAAATCAAATAAACATAGAGCATAGAGAGATGATACCTCTTCAAGTTGCATAAATAAGTGATCTTCAACAGATTCTTCAATAAACTGTCATTCATTATTTACTTATTACAATGTTCAACAATTCTTAACAAAATGATTTAAAACTTTCTAAATGAAAGAACGTTTAAGTTTTGGCTGTTCCTCAAGTCCACCGCAGCTGAAGTATTGGTGCTGTTTACTCTTCAGAAGACAATAACAATATCTGCAGAACATAAATAATCATTTCCGAACTATGTAACATAATGGGATTGTGAGAAACTGAATAAAATTATCAACAAAACCCAGTACATAATCTAATTAAGGTTTATTGGCACATAATTTTTATCGAGACCTGAGGTTCTTTGACGAGTCATTGATTCCAGAAAATGATAGCTAAGATGGTTATTGGCTTAATTTCACTGTGTACACTATAGAAATTGTTATACTTAAATAGGATCTTCAGATGATTTGAGTGAGCATTTGTATACACATCGCCCTGAGATAATAAACTTTGACTGAGTTTAAGCTTAATTGCTGAATTTAGAGTAATCTCTGCTCCATAAGTTTGTTCATTAGTAATAGTATTGTTTTTTCACGAGAACCGCATTTCATTGCTTTGATGAATAACAAAAGCGTTCTTAAATTTCAATAATTATTAAACGCTCCGTTGGACTCTCTAAATACTCTGTTGTCAAAATGAAGCATACTTAAACACCTGGATTGACTGAAATCTTTTGTATAAGATATTAGACGCATGAATCTGAAACAACTGGTTCATCTTTTTGTATAATATCTAATCCAACATAAGATTTTTGTTTCAAAGCAAATACAGCATCATAAGCCGTAAAATAATTTAAAGGTTACTAGAGCCGTTTTAAGGTTTAAGGTGGTGTGACATCTCAAATTTTCCGTATTATATTACTTCTTTTTATCAGTTTATATTTATTGAAGTCTTATTTAATTAACTTTTATTAGTCCTCGAATATAAAAGAGTTGACGTGTGTATATGATCAGATTGTTCGAAATATGTGATGGACATGCATCATATTTTTTTTCGAATGACTATGTCTTCTCATTGCTCTATTAAAATATTTAGTTTAATTATCCGTAAGCTAATTCATAAATCAGATAATACCTTTCAACGTACATGATTGTCCAATTAATTAGCTAGGTATCTGAGAATATTATGAGTATAGTCAAGTAAAACGTGCCTCTGTACAAATAAACAAAATATCAGACTATAATTCACATGCCCACTAATTAGAGAATGTTTAATATTAGGAATTGTAACAATACTGATCGAATTATGAATCATACAAAATTCAGGAATGAAAAGATCCAATACAAATAACCTACCGTGAAAATACTTATAATCGATTTCATATCATTCATATTCTTAACTAGTGATATAATGATGCTCATTTCTTGAACATTTTGGTCGTGACATTCTACAGCATTTATGTGAGGGCATTCTTCTTTCGTTGATTCATCAGCTTCACTTTTGATATTCTCATCCAGCCTTCTCTGCAAATCAGATTCTATAGACATGATTTTAGTTTGATCCTGTTTTGAGATGCTTGTGATAAAATTTCAGATAGTCAATTAAATCAGTTATTGAGTGTTGAGATCTAAAAAAAATACCATAAAATAGCTTAAGTTGTTTACTGTGGTTTTTGTTATCAAGTAATAGTCCCTTATGAGCAGATAATTTGATTTGTCTTCACAACTAGAATTGATTAATGCGTTAAATTCATAAAAATGTGTCCAAAATAAAATTTATTTCTTATTGTCTTTCTGAATAAAATTTCTTGGGGATGAGATAATCCAATTACAGTGAAATATTTCAAGAATTCAGTTGGAAATATTATTCATAACCATATTGCATAATAAGTAAAGATGGACTCGTCAGCTGGATTTGCCTACATCTCAGAGTTGATTTTCACCCTGGGACTCGGACCCAGTACCACTCGCTTCAAATGCCATCGCATTATCCACTTAGCTACTGAGTCCTGATAGCCACCTGCGATTGCTAGCCACTATCCATCTTTGCTTATAATGTTTGTAAATTAAGGCGCAATATCGAGGCAATGCGCAGAGTATACACATATGCCAATAAGAGACTGATCAATTTCAGTCCCAAACATCAATAGGAAGATTCAAGTAAAACTACACCAAGTGAATCATGTTGCATAAGCTATAATCATTCGGGTGGTAAATAAGCTTAAGATATGAAATTATAGTAACGTCTTTAAATGAGTCCTTTTGAATTTTACCAGTTTTTTAGTTGTTGTTATTTTCTAAAAAATGCTACTTCAAGTCACTTAGTACATGTAGTATTCAAATGGTATGGAACTTGTCGTTTTCACAATAAAATTGAAATTGCTCATTACTGGATTATCAGTGAGTTTTATTGGTGGCATAATCAGCTATTTATTTGGAAAAAACTTTCACGTTTATCTCTGTATCGTCGATATATCCATTCTAACATAGCTTTCAGAACAGTGGAAACTGTTTATTAAATTATGCTTTTTCAGTCAGCAATTAGCAGAATTACGTTAAAAAAGGAACACTCCTTTTTAAATTCATTTGGTATTGTTTGTTCGAATCTTCACATTGATGTTTAGCACTGCAGTTGACTGGCGTTTGAAGCGAACAGTATTGGGTTCAAGTCCCGGAGTGAATATCAAATCTGGGATGTAGGTACATCCAGCTGACGAACCCTAAATCGGACGAAACGCACGTCCTGTATTCCATGACTAACCACCATCCTTGCTCATAACAATCCTTTTTGTTACAATAGGATTATACAGTTAAAGTGGTCACATCAAAACAGAAACTCTCTTAAATTCTTATTTAGTAAATCAATCGTCATACAAAAGTGTACCAAATAGTTCGTTTATTCTAAATGGAAATTTATAAATAAGCATCATATTCTTAAGTAATGTTCAAGATTATTCATAATAGCACCTTTGTTACTGAATATTAACATTATTGATATTATATTCGGGATGCAAACACGGAAAACAAAGTTTGTTCGGAGGGTTAAATTTTAGTTACAAAGACTTCGAATTTGAGTGTCCGCCCACTTATGAACCTTAGTTTGGGCGGTGAACTACCCGTATGAAACGCACGCGAGGGTTGAATACTCGCTTTCACTAAAATAAAGGGAAATAACATGCAGATCGATGCGGCACCAGGAGTGCTAAACGTGCTAGTTTGAACCGTGGAGCAGACGTCAATGTATACAGTCGAAAAATTTTATATAAGGACAAAAAAGCTGTCCAGTGAAACCCGATTTTCTATGATAGTCTAACTATAATCACTGTATGAAGTAAACTGCAAAAGTACGTTATTCTATTTCCCTAGCACTTTTTTTCCGATTTATCAGTAATACAATAGATATGTGTCTAGCAAATGCTAGTGGGAGTTTATGGAAAGTGCGCTCGAAAATACCGTTCAAATTCATCTAAGGATTGAGATTTTTAAAAATGATGTTTATTTCTAGAATAAATCAGATAAAATGGTTCATTCTGAATGAGAATAAACAGAACAAATCTTGAAAAGTATAGTAATAACTTACAAAACGTAGCAAAGAATATGTTTAAATCTTCTAAAAGTTGCAGTTTAAATATCTAAATGAAATCTGAAATACATACTAAAAAAAAAGAAAACAAATATCAACCAATAAGACTTCTCAAAAACTTTTTATTGCTACATACAAAATACATCGAACAGAAACCATATATATTTTGAAAATAAATTAAGATTGGAATAACATTTAGATAAGAAAATGATAATTTGAGAAAGAAGATTTAAAAATTGTGACAATAAAAGATGATAAGAATATCTCTCATCAGAATGTAAAGCTGTGTAACTTTCCTAAATCCTTTGCTAGGTGGGGGGAATAAAATACACAAGGTCTGCAGTTATCGTTCGTCATATATACAGATACATTCATACACAAACATGTATATGGATTTCTACTTACAAAAAATAAATATATAAACGGGTGAGATTACGCAATGAATCACGGTTTGTACACCTTGTTTGAAATTCGAATCATGCTACTGAGTAAATAATGATTGATCACACATTATTTTGATACCCAAGGAATAATGAATATTGGTTGTATTTATCCTGAACAGTTGAGAGCCATTATCAGCAAGATCTCCATCAAGTTTGCATCATTAATTATCTTCAGAAAATTGATGTTCCTTCAGATAAGTTAACTTGCATGGTGTGTTGCTAATCTACTATTAAGTGATGTGTCTATATATTGGACCAATTGTTCCTATGTTTCAGTGTTTATATAACCTAAGATCCTGGTAACTGGATAGTGTAGATAAGACTGCTCTTCTAGGTAAACTCATATGGTTTTCTTGGTAAACTATGAGAACCATACACTGAATACTTCATTTGCAAATGTCCATCATTTATCCTTCACATTCTGTATGCTTCCTTCAGATCACAATCCCTTCATATTTCGCTTTCTGTTTTCTTTAACTCGTTCTTCTTAGCCATCTGCTGCCAGGTTTCCACTTCTACTTGCTGTTACATACTACTTATGCCGACAAACATAAGTAACATGCACCACTACAAATTTCTAGACATTGTACTGTTTCCCACCGGTTAACAAGTGTTTTGGTTCTTCTACAAGATTTATATTCACATAGTATAATTTTTAGTGAAAAAACACTATGTTCTCGTGGCATTTTCAAATATTAATTAATCAGCTGTTTAAAAATCCCCATAGAATGTTAAAAAATTAAGAATATTTGAGCGAACAATTGTTTTCAATAACTTCATCATCAAGCCCTACGGTCCATGATTATTATGAGATTTTGCAAAGGCTAAAATAAGTCACGCATTAATTAATTTGACAATGTTATATATTAAAAATGATGAACGTTTGCATCTGTTACGACATATATACTTCAAAAATTGTGTTATTTACAAATTAGAAAGGTCATTTAGTAAAGGTCAGAATGATTTGTGGTAAAGTGTCAAGTCATACTCAGTACAACAATAATATAACAGAATAAAACATCGTGCTAGTAAAAAACACATTAAAAGAATTTCATCTCGTTAATCGAGGTAATAATAATAATAATAATAATAATAATAATAATAATAATAGTAATAATTATAAAAATAATGTCATTTAATTATAATATCAAATAAGATTGGTGTTATCAAGTAATTGCGATAAGAAAGAATTTATGTGAATCGGGAAAGATGAATGTACAGATTAAGAAAGATATAAACACAAAAGGAATTGGGAGGGGGGTAAGAGGTTTATAATATACAGTTTAGGTATCAGGTGATCCGGTTGTGGGCCAATGTAAACATGGAAGTTAGATTAGCCGTTATCTAGCCCCTTGAGACAGATTATTTGGAACTTGATATAAAACAGAGAAAGCTTCCTCTATTTTGATATCATGTTCACTATCTACCAAGTGACAAAGAATTTGTACTGTCAATCGATTTAGTGATTCATTTTCCCAACCATGCTGGTACATGCTCACGAACACACAAGAATAAAGCCCTCTAGGTACGGCCTATGTAATTAGCTCCACTGTGAGTAACTTGGCGGCGTGAAACGTCCTTTCAACAGATCTTTGGGGTAGACGAGTTAAAATGTTACCCTCTATGTCCAGTTCTAGATACAGGGTACTTTTACTGACTGACTCGAAGTTTCTTCTTTCTTGATACCTTCTTATATTTTACTCGTACGATGTTTTATTCTGTTATATTATTGTTGTACTGAGTATGACTTGACACTTTACCACAAATCATTCTGACCTTTACTAAATGACCTTTCTAATTTGTAAATAACACAATTTTTGAAGTGTATATGTCGTAACAGATGCAAACGTTCATCATTTTTAATATATAACATTGTCAAATTAATTAATGCGTGACTTATTTTGGCCTTGCAAAATCTCACAATAACTATGGACTTATAACTGTAGTGGTTAATGATGAAGTTATTGAAAACAATTGTTCGCTCAAATATTTTGTTTTATTTATTCCTTTGTGTCTTAGCTGAAAATCTTTTTATTCCGGAAATCAGAAACCGTGCTATCTCGACCGATTGGTCGGTCGACGCGGATGGATTGATCGAAGATGAATGGAATAAGTTTAAGGCTACATTCGAGTCCGTAACGTCGCCGTTTATCCCATGGTCAGCACGTAAGCTATCACATTGCCCTCCATGGATTAATAAGGAAACCCGGAAGCTGTTAAAGCGTAGGAAACATTTCTGGGACTTATTCTTGTTGACAGGTCATGCACCATTTAAGCGTGAGTATCAAAAATACCGTAATATCTGTAAGAAAACCATAGCGAAATCCCGTACCACTTACGAACGACAGTTAGTATATGATAGCCGTACTTGTCCGAAACGATTGTTTTCGTATGTTAAACGGCAAATGAAACGTAGTGATGGTATTCCCCCGTTGCTGTTACACGAAAATTCAGAATTACTAGCTGAATCAGATCGAGCAAAAGCTGAGACTTTTTCAGATTATTTTAGCGAAGTCTTCTCT